GCCTTGCTAAACTGTCTTGCTAAAGATCAATTAATCATAATAAATCATAATTTGATGATATAATATCTTTTAAAAAAATATCTTCAAAAACATTTTTTTTATTTTACATAAATCAATTTTTAATTAATTAAAAAATTGATATTAATTTTCAAATAATTTAAAATTCTATTTTTACTTAATATTATTGGAAAAAAAATATATTTACTAGCTTATTACAACTTAAATTTTATTTTTCAATTACAAAATATAACAAATTTATATCCATAAGAGGGCGTTAAATACCTAAATATGAAAATGTATTCTTAGGAAACCAGAATAAATATTGGATAGCGCTTTTTTTGTATTTGGGTGTAAATACATGTGAAAAACCTAAATAATATTTAAAAAATAGAGGTTTCTTTGAGATTTAATTAATGAGTAGGTTTAGAATCGAAAAATAGTAGAAAGTTTGTAAGGAACATATTGCTGGCGTTATTGATCAAAATCTCTTCATTTTTGGTTTATACGTGTATATTTAGGTGTTAAACATTATCCTAAAAAATATTTTGAAAATATTACGATTTCACCGAATGCCGAGCTTAAAACCGACCAATTACTAAATATTCGATCGACCAAATTTGGTGTTAATATTATTTGGAAAATAATCATTTTGGGTTTATTTATCTATATATACGTGTAAATCATTATCGCAAAAAAATATTTAAAAAATATCGTGATTTGACAGATCACCGATTTGAAATCGGCCTAATGACTAAATACTGCCTTGCTGGCATTATACATGGAAAATTCTTCATTTTTGGTTTTTACGTGAACAATAACGTGTTAAGCATTATCCTAATTAATTTTTTGAAAATATTATGATTTGACCGAATGGCGAGCTCAAAACCGACCACTTACTAAATTTCGATCTACCAAATTTGGTAGTAATATTATTTGTAAAATTTTCATTTTTGGTTAATTTATCTATAAATACGTGAAAATCATTATTCCAAAAAATATTATAAAAATATCGTGTTTTGACCGATAACCGATTTGAAACCGAAATACTGCCTTGTTGGCGTTATACATGGAAAATTCTTCAATTTTGGTTTATACGTGAACAATAACGTGTTAAGCATTATCCTAATTAATTTTTTGAAAATATTATGATTTGACCTAATGGCGAGCTCAAAACCGACCACTTACTAAATATTCGATCTACCAAATTTGGTAGTAATATTATTTAGATAATGTTCATTTTTGGTTAATTTATCTATAGATACGTGAAAATCATTATCCCAAAAAATATTTTAAAAATATCGTGATTTGACCGATAACTGATTTGAAACCGAAATACTGCCTTGCTAGCATTGTACATGGAAAAATCTTCATTTTTGGTTTACACGTGAACAATAACGTGTTAAGCATTATCCTAATTAATTTTTTGAAAATATGATTTGACCGAATGGTGAGCTCAAAACCGACCACTTACTAAATATTCGATCTACCTAATTTGGTAGTAATATTATTTGGAAAATGTTCATTTTTGGTTAATTTATCTATAAATACGTGCAAATCATTATCCCAAAAAATATTATAAAAATATCGTGTTTTGACCGATAACCGATTTGAAACCGAAATACTGCTTTGTTGGCGTTATACATGGAAAATTCTTCAATTTTGGTTTATACGTGAACAATAACGTGTTAAGCATTATCCTAATTAATCTTTTGAAAATATTATGATTTGACCGAATGGCGAGCTCAAAACCGACCACTTACTAAATTTCGATCTACCAAATTTGGTAGTAATATTATTTGTAAAATTTTCATTTTTGGTTAATTTATCTATAAATACGTGAAAATCATTATCCCAAAAAATATTTTAAAAATATCGTGATTTGACCGATAACCGATTTGAAACCGAAATACTGCCTTGCTAGCATTGTACATGGAAAAATCTTCATTTTGGGTTTATACATGAACAATAACGTGTTAAGCATTATCCTAATTAATTTTTTGAAAATATTATGATTTGACCGAATGGTGAGCTCAAAACCGACCACTTACTAAATATTCGATCTACCAAATTTGGTAGTAATATTATTTGGAAAATGTTCATTTTTGGTTAATTTATCTATAAATACGTGAAAATCATTATCCCAAAAAATATTTTAAAAATATCGTGATTTGACCGATAACCGATTTGAAACCGAAATACTGCCTTGCTAGCATTGTACATGGAAAATTCTTCATTTTTGGTTTATACGTGAACAGTAGCGTATTAAGCATTATCCTAATTAATTTTTTGAAAATAAAATTATAAGTGATTTATGGACTAACAACAATTGTGAGTCCATGAATCATGTTTTTAAAAGTTATACAAATTGGCAATCAAGTAATTTAATTAATATAATTGATATAATATATAATAAAGTACAAATACAAGAAAATGATCTCGAAAGAGCTTTGATATGAAAAGGAGAATATTATTTGGCTGAGGTGTATAAGTCATTTCTGATAGATTTATCAATTTGGGAGAAATTTAGTGAGGAAGATAAAAAAAAAAAGAGGTAGAAAATTTAATAAAAATAAGTAAAAAACGGGAAAAAGAAAATGTCATGTCATCATGCGGGGAATCAATACTTTTGAAGCCTAAAAATCTAAAAAACCATGTCAAAAAATTAGAAAAAAAAAATAGAATAGCATCAATAAAAAAAATTAAAATTGAAAAATAATAAGGCCCTAAACGTCGTACTCTTTTTCATATATATCAAATCAATTTTTTAATTTTACAATAGATTTTTGTATCGGAACATTGCTTCATCCTAATCATAGTTTTATAAAAAAATTTATTCACATCACATGCAAATATTAATTTTTTTTTAATTTTTATTCATATCGTCACAAATACCAAATTTTTTTTATTGACATCGCATACAAATATTAATTATTTTTAATTTTTATTCATATCATCACAAACACCAAATTTTTTAAATATTAATTTTTTGTAACTTTTATTCATTCATATCGTCACAAATACCAAATTTTTTTAAAATATTTTTTTTTACATCGCATATGAATATAATATTATAATTGATTATTCATAATTTCTATTTTGCTAAATATTTTTTAAAATATATGAGGAAATGATGATATATATAGATGAAAATAGTAGGGATATCTGATCCTCGTTTAATTATATTTATTTTTCGCTTTTGTTTTTAGTATAATTATTGTATCATATGTCTTTTATTGACATTAATTTAATAAAATTATATTTTATTTTTTGGATTAATATGATATTATATAATAGATAAAGAATTTTCTATGGATAACGCCAGCAAAGCAGTATTTCGGTTTCAAATCGGTTATCGGTCAAATCACGATATTTTTTTAAAATTTTTTGGGTTAATGATTTGCACGATATATAGATATTTAAACAAAAATGAACATTTTCCAAATAATATTACTACCAAATTTGGTCAATCGAATATTTAGTAAGTGGTCGGTTTTGAGCTGGCCATTCGGTCAAATCTTAATATTTTCAAAGTTTTATTTAGGATAATGCTTAACACGTTATTGTTCACGTATAAACCAAAAATGAAGAATTTTCCATGTATAACGCCAGCAAGGCATTATTTCGGTTTCAAATCGGTTATCGGTCAAATCACGATATTTTTAAAATATTTTTTGGGATAATGATTTACACGTATATATAGATATTTAAACCAAAAATGAACATTTTCCAAATAATATTACTACCAAATTTGGTAGATCGAATATTTAGTAAGTGGTCGGTTTTGAGCTCGCCATTCGGTCAAATCATAATATTTTCAAAAAAATTAATTAGGATAATGCTTAACACGTTATTGTTCACGTATAAACCAAAAATGAAGAATTTTCTATGTATAACGCCAGCAAGGCATTCGGTTTCAAATCGGTTATCGGTCAAATCACGATATTTTTTGGGATAATGATTTGCACGTATTTATAGATAAATTAACCAAAAATGAACATTTTCCAAATAATATTACTACCAAATTTGGTAGATCGAATATTTAGTAAGTGGTCGGTTTTGAGCTCGCCATTCGGTCAAATCATAATATTTTCAAAATATTTTTAGGATAATGTTTAACACCTAAATATACATGTATAAACCAAAAATGAAGAGATTTTGATCAATAACGCCAGCAATATGTTCCTTACAAACTTTCTACTATTTTTCGATTCTAAACCTACTCATTAATTAAATCTCAAAGAAACCTCTATTTTTTAAATTTTTTTTAGGTTTTTCACATGTATTTACACCCAAATACAAAAAAAGCGCTATCCAATATTTATTCTGGTTTCCTAAGAATACATTTTCATATTTATGTATTTAACGCCCTCTTATGGATATATATTTGTTAAATTCTGTAATTGAAAAATAAAATTTAAGTTGTAATAAGCTAGTATATATATTTTCCAATAATATAGAATTTTAAATTATTTGATATTTAAAATTAAAAATATGTTTTTGAAAAATTTTTTTAAAAAGATATTATATCATCAAATTATGATTGATTATGATTAATTGCTTTTTAGCAAAATAGCTTAGCAAAGCAGTTTAGCAAGACAGTATTTAGTCATACCGATTTTTATTTTCAATATTATTTTTTAGCCTTTCGTATTACAAAACCTTTCGACTTATAGTGCGATATTAAAGTATTTCGTGTCATTGTTATTTTTCGTATTTTATTCTCGTTTTTTTGTTTTTATATAATGTTTTTTTTTCGTTTTGCTTTTTAATTGAAGATTTCAGATATAATTCATATTTTATTATAAATTTTGAGGTTTTTTTCGATATTATTTTGGACACAGCCTTAAATATTTTTTTTCTTTTATATATATATTTTTTTCTTTAATATATATATATATTTTAATTTATATATAAATGTGTAGAACTCTACATTTTTTATGTCTACTACTAGCTAAAGAGAATAATTTATATTTTTTCTTATTATTACAACACTTACATAGCCCAGATTACCGAACATATGCCAAGGCAACGTGACCCAATATATCCCTCACTTCTCTAGTCCCCGTGATACTGCCATTCATGGCGATTGTATTGACGCCATTTTCAATCGCCCAGTCCTCGACAATTTAGAAACTTTAACAAATGATATCTTAGGTATAATTAAAAACGAAACTTTTTATACATCGCATATCATCTCACTGATTCACGGAAGAGAATCCCCCCAAAAGTAATTTCCCGGGATGATCCTGAAAAAATATTAAATATTCTTTAGAAAATTAATAAATTAGGAAAAAATAATTCCCATATATATTTTCTCAGAAAAAAATTCCCCAAATAAAATATTTAAAAATTTTAAGAAAATCAACATTTATAAAAAAAATCCTGGAAAATATTTCCCTGTAAAAAAAATTCCTGAAAAAAATTTCCCATATAAAATTGTTAAACAAAATTATAAACAATAAAAAGCCATTAATATTAGACTTATCCTAATTTTTAAAATATTTTCAATTCCCTAAGCGATGTAATGTCTAACGTTAAAGCCTTATCCCGTACCCATTTTTTTTTTAAATTAAAATAAATGAATGCTTAACTATATCATTCCCTTAACCTAAACTACCACCTGGATAAGTTTCTGTGATATTAAGCAAAATGTTATTATAAGTTAATTATAATTGTCTGGCCCAGACTTTAATTTTTGAAATTTTTAAGACTGGCCGAATTTTTAAACCTTATAATTAGTCAGAACTGGCAGGTCTTTACCTTAAACTCAAATTTGTTTTTTAGAATTCACCCCTCGAAGTTTTGAGGTTTCAAGTAATTAAAATAAGATTGAATACCCATTTTCCCCAACTTTTAGATGTTTATGGGGAAGTATTTTAAAGGCATATTATGAATGGAAAAATGTTTATAAGAAATATTTCATATCAATTTCTTTTTAAAAATAAAATTTTTTTTACCAAAAATTTTACACATTTTAGATCCTCCTTTTTTAAAAAAAAATTATGAAATTATTAATCATTTCCAAGAAATTTTTAGAAATATATTTTTAAAGAAATATAAAATATCAAATTGGAAATTGGAAATTTTAATTGAGCGTTTTCTCAATTGCCTTCAAAAATGTTTGGCCATATTAACTTTTTTAAAAGTTGGAAAATAATAATGATTCGTTTAATGTAAATTTACTCCTCATATTCTTAATTCCCGAAAAATAATTAGTTTTCTTTAATTTTTTATCTGAGAATTGTAAAAATAATTTATTATAATCGTTTCATTTTCATCGTAATTACTCCATGCCGTTTTGGATCTGGTTGAGTTCGCGCTCTTTGCATTTTATTAAAATTTACGGCATAAATAAATATGCCAAGTTTCATTTATTTTTGACAGGGTCATCCAAAGCACTGGTTAATTTCCCAAGGAATCACCCTAATTGATTGCATCAATCATAACAAATCACACTTTATACATTATTTTATTATTTAAGTAATATTATATAGGCAAATGATTTTAAGATATAATTAAATTAGAGATAGACCTTATAGAAATACCATTATCACACTAGATTTCATCTGGGGTAAACTAGTGTTTCAAAGTATTTTAAATAGTTTAAAAAACCATGACTATAATTTAAAAGATGTTGTACCATTAGAAATTGAAGGCGGTGTTTTTTTATTGGATTATGTTATTATATATATTCTCCTCAAAAATAGAAAAGAAGCTGAATAGTAGCATCACTAGTAAGGATCTAACCGATCACCCATATCATTCCAAGTATCGTAATCGTCGGCCCAAGCAGTCAGACCATCTTTCTTCCTCCCATCTTTGCACATCGGTCAAGCGATCTATGCTTAAACAATCCCAATCACCGAAACATATGTTTGATAACATGAACTCCAATGCCACTGCAGAAGTATTATTTTATACTAACATGTTAATATACTTAGCATTTAAATTCTTTCATTTTTAGGCCAACCTTTTTTTAAAACATACTTATAATATATACATATACGGTTCACAAATATCATTTTCCAGTAGACCTAGGTTTTTGAATTTTTTTTGATGGGCTAGGTATAGGCCAAAATTATTTATTTTATCTTATTTAAAATAGTTGCTAACTTAAAGAAATATTGCAATTTTTTCTTCTTCAAATAATAAATTTTAGTATTGTAAACAAACCAATTGCCTAAATACACTTAAATATTGTTTATTTTTTTAATGCAATAAATTAAATTTTTGGATAAGGACTGGAGGGGGGGGGGGGGAGATTTTTTTAATATTCTATATGGGCGATGCCTGGGCCTAAAAAATTTTTACTGCAAGCCTGGGTCGGGCTTGATAAAAATTAAAGCCCGTGAAGGTCTTTGATTCGATTAACCCCAATGCCTTATTTTAAACTTTCGCATTATCTTTATAAACCCATATAGGAAGAAATCATACCTAGCAATTTGCCATCCGACAAAAGACCAGTGCCGCTAAGACGAAGGATATCCGCCGAAGCAGAAGCAGCCGCCATTTTGATAGGGGCTTTGCCTTTTTTGAAGTTCGGTCCAGGTCGACGCCAGAATCCCATATCCATTTTCGTTAGATTGAATCGCCCACTCATCTTGGAAGTTCCCTCGGTTGATTAAACTTGCTTCTGCCACTCTTTAAAAAACTTTTATTTGGATATATTTTTTAGCTAAGTAAATTGAAAGATTTTGAAATACAGGATATAATGGATGAGTATCACTCCACTTAAAAATATCACCTCCTTCATATATTTTTAAAATATTTTATATATAAAATTTACCGAAATTAGCATAAAAAAGAATAAGCTAGTGTTAAAAGATTATTAATACCCCATTGAATCTAGTTTATAAGTCAAATTTTTTTGCGCATCTTTATAAGTACCCTCAACTTCAGGAATGTTTGACAATACCAAGCATTTAACTTGAATTAGTAAGCTATAGCATTATTTTAGATATTATTTTCTCCTCATTGTTTATTCTAAACCCCATATTTATTAAGATCAAATATTCTAACACGGGTTCTACTTCTATCCTAGAGGTACCCTCCGTTCCTGTCAGATTTCTTTACATTTTGCTCGGGCCTAGCTCTTCCCAATTTACAAGGGACTCCTCTGACGAAGATGTCGGAGATAGTATATCTTACCTGGACATGGAAGGGGTTGCTGATTATAAGGAGGACTCAGATCAGGCTTTAGACGCTTATTTTAGCCGCAAAAGGTTTTTAAGATATATTTTTTTGTTTTTTAGCATAAGATTATGTAAACTACAATACGCACATATATATTAACAAAATTTTGAGTAGGGGATCATTCTTCTCCGTTTTATGGCGTAACAATGACTAACCTAAACTGGGGATTCATTTAATTGAAATCAGCTGTCAGTATGAGTAGAAGGCGCCATTGAAAATACTTTACTTTAAATATCTTTCACATTTTGTCTGTCTTTCAATGTACGTATGCTTTAAAATATATTTTAATGAATGAATCGTCAGTTTAGGTTAATGCCATTGAGTCAAACTCCAAATAATCCAAAGCCAACATCGCACCGTTTATTATTCTTAAAAATAGAAGGTTAGAGATGGAGTTCGATACTTTAAAAATATAGCAATGTAATAAACCATTTTTAAATATAATACGCAATTTCATTCTTGATTTATTGTTCCCATCGTTCGCATAAAATTAGAACGTCCACCATATCCTTGATTAAAGGTACCCCAAAACTTAAAACTTTCGAAAAGCTGGAAAGTGACATAGATTATTATGATTTGGGAAGATGTTTCGCCACTCTCATGGCTAACAAGGTAATGTTTAATTTTATAATTATCTTTTGGTTAAAAATGCAATGAACAGAAAATTTAAAATTTTCTTAATTTTTTTTTCTCTTTATCTTTCACCTTTTCTGGTGGTAAGCTCCTTCAACATCTCTCTCCATTTTATGTTATTAATACAATATTGGCTCTAACTTTATGGCCCCATTGAAGTTTTGGCCTTCCTCTTTTACGTAAATTTTCTTAATATGTTTAAAAAATGTTTTACGAATAAAATAGTATCTGCATTTCATTTTTATATTTGAATTATAACGTTTTAAACGATTCAATATTGTTTATAATAAGCACACCATTTAAAAAAGACACATCTTTGATTAAGAATATTACTCATTTTTGTGAGATGGAGGAGGGGGGGGGGGTGTAGGGGATACTTATTATAACCTGAAAATTATTTACTGAAACAAACAAATTTGCTATAATAAATACTTATTTTTAAAAAATAAGTTTTTCCAAGAAGTGGCATACGAAGCTACCCATTGTCGGGAGTTGGTCCTAGCATTCAATGAGTTTCTTAACGAAAGCATAGTTATTCCATCGAGCGATATATCTATCAATTCTTTACTTCCCTTGACTCGCCTCTACAAAGATCGAATGCTGAAAAATTTGCCCAAACCTCACCTTCATCAACAGGCCAAAAACGAGAAGAAAGGTAATCGATTTTTTAAAAATTTTCAACTTATTTTTTTGATTATGATGTCTATTATTAGATAATTATTTGACTACATATTTTCTATCCATGAAATGTCATTCAGCTTTGGTGATTACCCTTTTTGTTCTGATAGTTTTACGATATTACATAATTTTTACAAATTAAACCGTTTTAATTTTGCCGTATATTTTTCAAATAATAATGCATTATTTGATTCCTATTTTGACGTTTTATTTTACATTAAAAAAACAAAATAGTTTGCGTTTTTTTGTTTTATTATTTAATAATACCGCACCAATTTAAACAACGAAGCTTTTTATCTAAAATTACATGGTTAAAGTTTTCTGCTCAATATTTAAATACTATCTAGGATTTAAAAAATATAATATTTCATTAATATATACAATTTTATTTAACATGTGTTAGAATTAACTGATTCTCCAAATCCCCGCCCTTCGAAATCTAAACCTCACAAACGGCGTCGATCTCCATGCTGCAAAACTTGTCCAATATTCAAAGGATTAGTGTCCGACGTTAAAATAAAGGCCCCATGGTATTGGTCAGATTTTACAGATTCCATAAGCCTCAGATGCTTTGTGACGGTTATATTCATCTACCTTACTTCCATGCCCCCTTCCATAACGTTCGGTGGCTTGTTAAGTTATTTTTATTTTAAATATAGCTCCTTTTTTGTTATTTATATTAATTTTGTTTCTTCTCATGTTTCAACGCTAATATAAAAATTTAACACTTTAAATAAAACTGCTGGAAAAATGCCTAACCTAAGAGAAAGAAACCCAAAAAATTAAAAAATATGGCTCGTTGGAAAAGTTAAACGATGCATATGTTTGATTTTATTGATATCTGATTCAAAGAATTCCTAATTTGCACAGTTAATTATAATGCGCTACATATCAGCACCGTCTGGCCCTTAATAATTTATTATGAAGAAAAAATACATCAGTTTTTTTTAATTCTAAACTTTAAAAAATTTGCCAAATTTCAGCCCTAAAAATTTTTTGATGAGTGGTCAGGCCCGGCCAGAAAAATATTTCACATAAATTACCAGGCCCAAAAAATTTTTTGCCTTCGCCCTGCAGATCTCTAATGTACATCCTCAGGGACCCATTTATTTCAAAATTGAACATCTTGAACCTTAAGTAAAAGAGATCGGATGATATGTGTTAGGGTTTATATATTAGAAAATTATTTTGATAAAATTTAAATTGTTTAGTAAGTTTATAGATCCTGATTTTGAAAATTGTCTAGTTTGTCGATCATTTAATGAGGATCGTGATCCTTTTACTTATTGAGCATTTTTTGATCCTTTAATTTTTCGATAAATGAATTTAATAGTATTTTATTTTATTAAATATCTATACTATTATGCGATGAGCGGAAAATAATTTCCCGGGAAAAAAATCGGAAATTTTTAATTATCAAATAACTCCTACTATTAAGTTGTACTTCTTTCTTTAATTTTTTTAAGCAAATTTATAAAACTTTATAATGAAAATAAATATTATGATTTCTATAGAAAAGTGACAATTGTCACAATTATTATTTTAACTTTATTTCAAGAAAATGAGTAAAAATATATTAACGTTTTATCGTATCATGTCAATACCACGAAACATTTTCCCCGAAATGCATTCCCATAATCAGGTATCGCGGATATTTGTATCTTTTTTAAAATTTTGGAAAGTATCTTGTATCCAGTATCTAAGATACATATTTTTAAAAGTATTTGTATCTTAACCAACTTTGTATTCAAAAAGATACAGATACTTTAAAAAAATTTATATTGGTTAATTTAAATAGTATTAAAATTTAAAATGATATTGTTTTAAGATTTAAATGAAAAATTTAATCAAAATTTAGATATTTTAAGATAATTTTTGATATATGACGTTGGTCGTCATATAGCAATTTGCTAACAATTAGAACTACCATATTTGAATCGTTTTATATCTGTCTATTTTAAAATTATGGAAGAAGAAAATTGAATAATATGTTTATCTTCGTCTTCAGATGATTCTTCAACCAAAAATGATAACAATAAATTTAAACTAAGCATACTTAATGGCAAATTTTTTGAAGTACTTTAAGATGATCATAATAAAGAAATCGTGACTTTGGTATTGACGAAAATGTTATAGCAACTGTTACAGATAACGACTCTAACTTTAAGAAAGCTTTCAAGGAGTTTGGATATTCTATGGAAGCTGTAGAGAATGACTTTGACATCAATGATGATGAATGTATAGAATTCGAAGTCACTGAAAGTATTATTTAATAAAAGATTTTATTCTAAAATTATTTATTTGTTTATATTTAAGTGTCTAAAAAAGAATCAATATAATTGCCTCAGCACATTCGTTGTCTATGCCATACGATAAGCCTTATTGCCAGAACAGATGCCGAGAAAACTAAGGATTTTTCTGCCATTTCTAGAATTCATCATCCCACACTAGCCAAATCTACTAAGCTATGGAATGCAAATAATAGGCCTAAAACTGCAGAACTTATCAAAGCAGTTTTAGGAAAACAATTAGTTACACCTTGTTTCACTAGATGGAATAGTTTGTATGATAGTCTTCATAGTTTATTAAAATTTAAAGGCGGACTTCCTTAATTATGTCAAAAATTAGAATTTCCTAAATTAAGAGATATTGAAATTCAATATTTAGAAGAATATTGCAATATAATGGCCCCATTGGCTATAGCGATTGACAAAATACAGAGTGAAATCAACTGCTATTATGGAGAATCAACTCCAATTTTAAATGTCGTTAAAAAAAATTACGAATTTAATTCAAATCTACAATTTATAAACCATTAGCTATTGCCATAGAAAATTATTTAATAAAAGATTTAAAAATATATATGATTTTGATAACAATTTTAAAGTGCATTTTTGGCAACTATTTCTCATCCCTATTTTAAAAATCGTTGGATTGATGATGAAAAAGAAAATACCTTCAGGATTTGTTATTACATGAAGTTTTAATTGTTTTAAAAATAGAAATTTCAACAAAATCTTCAATTGATGAAGATGATGATTACTTTTGCCTTAAAAGTACCACATCCAATTCTAATAATTCAATAGATGATATTGAAATAGAAGTCCTAAATTATATGAAAGATGACAGGCGGAGTATAAATATGTTAAATAGTTATAAATATATAAAAGAAATATTTATAAATATAACACAATGTTACCCTCCTCACCCCCCGTTGAAAAATTATTTAGCTTTGCTAATATGGTTAATAGACCAAATCGTCAAAGATTGAACGATAAATCATTTGAAAAATTAATAATATTAAAAAATAATGCTGATATATGATGCTGATTTATTATTATTTACTAATTATATAATTATTAAATGGAATATCGCATTAATAAATTTGTTATTTTCTACAATTTATTTTAAATATTTTTTTATAAATTTATATTATAGATAAGAAAATAAAGCTTTAAACATTTTGATTTTGACTATTTAAAGTTTTTAAAAAAGTATCTTGTATCTTAGATGCTTTTTTTTAAAAAAAATACAAGTATCTTGTATCTTATATCTTATTGAAATTTTTCTAAGGTATCTTGTATCTTAAATACAAAATTTTATAAGTATCTGTATCCGAATACAATTTTCTGAAAATTTGCCCAACCCTGCCCATAATATCTTTTCGCAGTAATGCATTTTGGGACGCGGTATTGACATGATGCGAACTAAATATAGTATAAATTTAACAAACCATTTAGACAGTGAAACTTTTAACACATTTCACTAAGGATTTTTTGAGCATTTTAGTTTTAATTCTGAGCGATTAAATAGGTCAATTTTAAAATAGGAGACTCGATGAATTTGTTGGTAATTTTAAACTTTTATAATTTAGCCTCAATAATAAAATTAGTAGTCAAATTGGTTTTGACATTTTGGAAAGAAAATGTGTTTACGCTGAAAATGAAACGAGATTATTTTAAAAAATTATAGAGATTAATATTTTCGAAACGATAATGGGAATATGAGAAGTAAATTCATATTAAACGAAGCATTATTATTTTCCAGCTGATTGAAAAAAGGTTCATATGTCCAACCAATTTTGAAATTTCATAATTTTTTTAAAAAAGGATAATCTTGTAAAATTTTTGATGAAAAAATATATTTTTTTAAAAGAAAAAAACTTATAAACATTCTCCCATTCATGATAAGTCTTTAAAATACTTTTCCATTGATATTTAAAAGTTGGGGAAGATTTTTAAAGGTAAACCAAAATTTATTAAATTAACTTTCCTTTAATTATTTGAAACCTCAAAACGTCGGGGGTGAATTTAAAAAACGAATTTCAAATTTAGATTTATTTAAAGGATACATGCCGGTCCGGGCCAAAAATGATATGATTTCCAAAATCCTGACCGATTTTAAAAAATTTAAAATCCGGGCCGGCCATTACATCTAAACAGGGTTGTGTATTTGACTGGCCAAATACGATTCGGTCAATTGGTTGATATTTGACCGGTCAAATATGGTCAAATTTAAATAAATGTTTTTTAAGACAATATTAACTTTATTTTATGTATATAAAATGAATCTATAATATTAATTTTATCATTGTCATTCAATAATTAATGTTTTCTTCTACGTGGCAGAGTCTTCTTCTGAATAATATTCAATATTATTATCTTCTTTATTATTTTTATATCAATAATGTTGTCGAGATCTTCAATCGATATCTATTTTAGTAAGAATATTAGCCCATCGACCAATTTCTTTCCAAAAAAGGTAGAAATAGGAATTGTTAGTAAAATGCCACTTCTATTAATGGGCATGGTGAGCAAAGCCTATTCCACTAACTTGAGGCAGGAACCTGATTGTGTCTTATGGAAGTTAGTGCTTTCCACATAATTTTATATTAAACTGGCCTCCTTTACATTTGGAATTTATGATATCACGTGAAATATTTTGATCACCACTTTGTAAAATGCCTCATTCTTCATTAATTCACTACTAGTAAGATGCTCCCTCCCCTTGATATTGGGGACTCATTAAATGAGCAGCATTGTAATCACAAGTATTTATATCGTTTTTTCTTTTTGCCAACATATTTTTAATTTTTTTTATGGTAAAATACTCCTCCGTCAAATGATCGACTTGCCAACCCTGCAATTAAATATTAAATTATCATAATATTTTGCTTAATATCTCAGAAACTAGGGATCCACCAGGTAATTAAGTTTAGGGCTTAGATATAGTTAAGCTTTACTTAATTTTCACAAAACCAGTTTCAGTCAAGTCTTCAATGGGCAGGTTGCCTGCCCACGCCCGCTCATCTGGCTTTCTAAAAGATTTTATACATTGGGCAGGTGGCGGGTGTAAAAAATATTTTTAAAACAATGTGCGGGTGAATTTTAAATATTTTTAGTGCGCAAACTTATATTTATTTTAAAAAATTTATTACATAATATTGTTCAATTAAAAATACATTAAAATGATAAAGAACCATACCAACAATTAAAATATTTAAACATTGGACTTGATGGCTAAACAAAATTTGGGTGAATTTATAAAAAACCACGGACAGACGGGTGAACGAGTAAATTTTTTTTAAAACAATGAGCTAACGTGCGTATGGGGTAAAAATAGTTCAGGATAAGACTATAATGATATACATTATATGGTTTAGAATTAATTGATAATATTTTGAAAATTGGCTTAAGTTTAACATTAATCACTTTTCAGTGTTTAAAATTTAGGTTGACAATTTTATTTGAGTTTTTTTTAAGAGAAATATTTCCCAGGAATTTTATTTTGGATTTTCTCAAAATTTTTAAATATTTTATTTGGGGAATTATTTTCCGAGGAAATATTTATGGCGATTTTTTTTCCTCTTTTGTTAATTTTCTAAAATAGTTAATTTTTTTAGGGCCAAAAAAAATAAGTAACTTTTCCGGAAGAATTTTTTTCCCGGAAAGTAATTTTTTTCTGGGAAATTTTTCCGTGATTATTCATTTGGAGTCCATCATAATATCAAAATATTTTCCCTTTTTAATTAAATTAATTTTAATCATTATTCGATCCTTTTAAATAGATCGTTTAACAATATTATTTATTCACAATTAAATATGTCAAAATATTATATTAAATTTAATTAATTTTTTCAGAGACGCATCGATGCTCAAGGTTCGGTCAGTATAGGTATCGGCCGATACTCAATAAATTTTAGTCTACATTACACATTGTATTTATAAAAAATATTGATTTGCTTTTATAAATTAATTATAAATAAAAAATGATAGTATTGATGAATTATATCTTTGCTTTTTTCAATAAATTTCTATTATTATTTTCATATTGGTTTAGGTATCGGTGCATCTGTTTTTTATAAACACAATCTTTTTTCATAAATGATAACTTAAACAGTAAATTATATTATCTTTTTTCCTACGACTTTTTTTTATCTTGAATATATACTTCTACAGTTTTTTTTCATGGAATTTTTTTCAGCATATTAACTCCACTCAATATTCTATCGATATCTAACACCTTTCAGCATATTAACTCCACTCAATATTCTATCGATATCTAACATTTTTCTTTAATCTTATTTTTTTAATATTTTTTTTCTTAGCGAACCTTCACATTTTGACTGATGTCTTCCTTTGATTTTTAAACGTTTTTATATTAAGTCAAAGTTAATTTTGACTTTTAAATCATATTTCACTATTTTAGAATATAATTAAATTTTTTTATAAGAGCTTAGCATTATCTATATCTAAAAAAAATTGCAATCAATCCCCAAAGGCGAAAATACGAATAATTGGATAGGTGTTAGCGAGATCATGATAGCCGATGCCCTGGGTGGCATTCTATTCGCATTGTTCTCGGGTCAACCGCTTTTGATAGTGACCGTTACTGGCCCTTTGCTCGTGTTCGAAGAGAGTCTTTTCAAGGTACTTTTTAATTCTTGTCGCTTGAATACAGTGACTTGGGGCAATTAATCTTATATTTTTTAGGGAGGTATGAATGTATGCTTCTAAGAGGGTAGGGGGTAAAAATATTTTCTGAATATTTAGTCGAAGATTCCAGCCAAGTATTCATAAAGACACCGCCTGAATATTAGAGTTAATTTATTCACCATTTCTTAAAATTTTGATGAATACCTCAAATAAATAACACTATATTGATCTAGTGCCAAATTTTTAAAATTAAAAAAATAAATAAAGTATACATCAGTGACTTGCAGGCCCAGAACCAGTACTATGCGACCGGGGCTTATTTTTAAAATTAAAAGAATTTCCTAAAATAATTTTTTAAAAAAAATCACAGCTTAAAATTTTTTTCGAATCCTAGCAGGGCATAAAATTTGAATTTCTGCAGGCTCTGATATAAATGAAAATTAGGTTGCTGATCTTTTTAAAATTTTGCGTTCATTTTGTAATAAATGAGAAATGGTTCAAAAGAATATTTATGTTTATTTAATTTTAATTAACTTTAAGTAAAAATACAAACGGTAAAAACAAAATATAACTTTTATCATAAAAAGTGAAAAAAAAAATTAATTGATACAACCGCGCTATTTATATTTGTTCAATTATTGATAAAAAACCTTTTCTTTTTTAATTTCATACAATATATTTTAACAATTTGAAAAAACTTCTTTTTTTTACATTTTCAAATAACCTTAACGTTTAAAAATTAAAAACATCGATTAACACAATAACGACACATCTATAAGATATAATATAACTAATATACTCTCATATTTTGATATGTATTTCTATTTAATTTAGAAGCCCTTATGTAAATGAGGAATGTAGAAGGGAGATTTGACAATGTTTGAATTGAAGCTTTACTTGATATTACTTACTATAATATATAGGTTATATATTCTAATTCATCAAATTTGTATTTTTATTGATTAACCATTTTTCTAAATACAGGATCTTGCTATATTTTTTTAAATTATAGAAGAGGTGGATCATATTCTAATCATCTCTCTCAGGAATCGGACTTAAAAATGTGCCATATTAGTTTTAGTTCTTTTATTACTCATCTACATGTACAATTTTATTATGGTCATATTTTTATCGTTTTTAAGTTTACCGGCACTTATCACATAGACTACCTATCTTTCAGGCTTTGGATAGGTATTTGGGTAGCCCTTATAACCACCGTTGCTGTCGCGTTCGACGTATGCCGTCTCGTTAAATATTTCACGCGGTTCATTGAAGAGATATTTGCCCTCACTATCGCACTTATATTCATTTACGAGGTCTTCAAAAAGATTCACAAAGTTCCTCTTCTTTTTTTTCCCCAACATAATTTTTTTAATATATATTTATATTGACTTAATAAACCTATAATCAAATTTTTAGTTTAAATGAAATCCTAATAAATACAAAATTGTTTTTTTTTAGTATTTAAAATACAAATACTAAATACTTTCTGAAATATTCAATTTAATACTAAATACAAATACAAAAAAGTATTTGTATTTAGTATTTTAAATAAAAATATTCTCGTTACTACGTAACCCTCATGTCAATATTACATCAACCCCATTATGCCCCACATATAACAAAGCTAAAAACTTTTCCCGTAATCTCCGAGGGATCTCCACTCACTTACCCTAACTCTTGATACTTTTAAATTCTTTATATCCGCTTCTCCACAGAAAAACTAAAAAAATCTATCATCTAAAATAAGACACTTTTAATATGATCTTTCCTTTCATATATACTTTTAACTTGACCTCTAATAACACTAACCCACAAACCCTTCCCGAAAAAAAGAATTTTACCTCAACGTTTACTAACCTTAATTGTTAACCCCAGTAAATATTTAAAATAAAACACAATATATTTAACCTTGAAACCTATTAATATCAATTACTAACCCCAATACATTTTATAAATATAACTCATATATGATACTTTTATGATTCAACCTTTTTCTTTTTATGTCGGATTTTTGATCAGACTTTTTCCTTTTATGAATGGGAAACCCTATATAACCCCTAATTGTATTTGGAATTTATTCTGAACTTCCTTAGCATTTTAAGCAAATACATATTTATCATATTTCTTACTATCTATATATATATAAATATTATAATAAATCTAAGGTAATTTATCGGCATCCTTTACTATCTGATTATTGTCACCTCACTCTGTTGTCCAAGAAAATCCAAAACAAGAGCCTGGTGGCATTCCAAAAAAATTTGATGCTCACGCAATCCTACATACCTCTGCAAAGCTATTATGCCCATTTCAACCCTTATTATTATACCCCCATGGATCAATTGTCTTCCTTCGCCCACTCATCAGATTTAAAGCCATTCGGATTAAAACTTAAAGACAATAGTGATCAAGTTAAAACTGGAAGTAAGCCGGGAGATGTTAAAACTTTTTAATAAACACAATTCCCATTTCAAAAAAGGGATAAGAGTTAATCAAAAATAAAAAGATCAATCATGTATAAGGAAAAAGTAATCAAAAAGAAAAATTGATCATTTTTTCAGCGAAATTTCTTTTGACTAAACTTTCCTGTAATATAAATCAAAAATTATAACTCTTGGCCAATGGCCATCCGGCAAAAATTTTAAAAATGTTGTTTTTGTAGAAGATAAAATTTTAAAGTTTATTTACTATTTAAATACAATATTTTTTAAATATACCAAGTCAACAGGCGGCATAAAAAATCACTTTTAACTAGTAATGCTTCCGCCGTGTTCCACAACACTACCCTTTATAAATCTGCCTTACCGCGTTTGTTTTATCACGTAGAGGACACTTCGGTTAATCATAGCCATTTTAAAAGTACGACCGAAAGTGATTACCATTTGGACAATGAAACCTTTTCTGGCTCACTGTTTGCGGATAAAATCACGTTCTATTCCGGTGACCTGGTACGCTACCACAACTATTATTACGAATATGAAAGTGGACCCGGGCCTTTCAACAATTTTCAGAAAGCATTTAATTTGGTAAATGGATTTTTATTGCAATTATCATACTTTTTAACATAAATCTTAGAATTCTTTTCTCGCATTATCAAACAAAAACTTTTATGAATATGAATGCCGAGTTCATAAAAAAAATTCATTATTTCTTAAAATTAATGCTTCCCTTTCTAAATCTATGATTAAGATCCGTATCAATACTTTATTTTCATAAAGATCTATTCAGTCATATCGCAATTTTTTTTCTTAACAACTATTAATCTTAACATGGTTTTAGGAATACCTTTTTCTTTCTTATTTAATCATATCTTTCCTTTTCAAATCTCATGTCTTTTTTCTAGAATTTCAAAATGCTAATGGTAAACGTTCATATTTTTCTTTTCAAAAAGGCTAAAAATATTATCTTTTTCTTGGGCTACGTCTTTGCAGGCAAATAAAAATTTGAATATTCGCGTATTTTATTTTCGCCATATTTAAAAACAATAAAACAGTGAGTGTCTTCAATTTGCCCATTAAAAATAGCATTATTTTATGCCAAAATCTATTTATTGCATTTTTTCGCGTTGTTATGCAGTATTTTTAATTTTGTAAAAATTATCTAATGGGTAAATTCATGTTATAACATTTATTTTATCCAATTTAATAAATTTCAATATTCTTTTATTCCTAATATTATATTTAATAATAAATTTAGAAAAGATAGGGAGTTTCAAGATATATATATAAAATTAAAATATGATATGTTATGTTAGGTTATATTAACAATTAGGTATTGATTATTTAGTAGTAAAGACTAATAATAAAAGCCTAAAAGACACATATATAAGATTAAAAGGAGGGCTTTAGGCTCTGGATTTAAAAGGAGATGGATTTATATTGAACCAATTCCTTTCCTTACAATGTTGATTACTCCCTTACGTAAGTTTAATTTGAGTGAGGATTTTTATTTTGATGAAGCGGTCAGAATAAAAAATTTACAGACAAGATAAATGCTATCAAAAATTAAATATGAAGAAGCAGTTAAATTAATCATCAAATATAAATTTGTGTATTTATTACCACCTGCTTCTAAAAAGTATAAGCCAAGATAAAGAGAATGCAATAAATAAAATGATCTTTTATTTTAGATTAATTCCTTTATACTAATTTCCAAGTAAAGGAAACAAGTGTCAAAATTTATTTTAAATATATGGGTTATTGATAATCCTAATTTTTTTTATTATAAACTCCAAATAAATGTAAACTCATCTTAACATTAAATCAATTAATTTAATATTTTTGTTTATTGTATTTTATCATAATTGCTAAATAAATGAAAATTTATAATATTGGTGCAAATGATTTATATAACATATCATTAATAAAATAAATCGTATATTTTGTTCTAACATCTTTACTAGAATTAAAAACATTGATTCTATTTCTGTTTGAAGATAGTAAATTATTTATTTCTTTAGAAATCGAATAAAACTACCTTTTCAAATATTCTTATATAATTTATTTATTCCTCTTCTATTTTTTAGTAAATTAATCTTTAAATCCAATAATAAATATAATTAAAGAATTTTAAACATACATAAGATTATTTTTCAAAAATTTATTTTACTAAATATTTGTTCATAACAAAAACTTGAATAGTAGATATTAAAAAATGAAATGTGTTCAAATTAAAACACATGTTATTAGGAGGAAAATATAAGAGGTAGTTTTACACATTTATTAATATCTTTCTTTTCCAAATCACATAAAGCATTCATAAATTTTCAAATTCTTACTTTCCCCATATATTCAATATTTAGTAACTCTTAGTGGTTTTTCATTCATCTCACTATGATGTTTCAATATTAAATACCTCTTTATAACTTTAATTCTCTCTTATTTCTTGTAAATCGTAATATTATTTTTTTTCAAAATTGCCTAAATATCTTCTTCCTCAAATTGCTTTATGCTTCTTATTTTCTTCACTTTATCCTTTTCTAAATTCCATCATCTTTTAAAATAATATCTTCAATATTAATTTTTTAAAAAAATTTATGGCTACATTTGTAACCTTTCTTTATGTTTCCAATTATTTATATTTATTGATCATTTAAGAAAGCAACAAATAAAGAAACCTCGATTTACCATCCCTGCTTAACATAACTCCAAACAAAATAATTTAAATTGATTGAACATTTGAGAAAGCAACAAATGAAGAAGATCTTGATTTACCATTTATGTTTAACATAACTTTTATTCGAATTCTATAGGGCCGGCCCATGGCCCGAAAAATATTAATGTTATATTTCTTTATATTCCTCCTTTTTTTGTCTGATGGAATATCACAGTATGAAATGAATTTAAAAAATAAATCAAGTTTAAAAAAAGATCAGGGGGTGGGAAATATTTACTATTCTTCATATCAAATCTTGTAATAGTTAGAATTAAATTATGAATTTTTTAATAATTATTTTTTATTACTATTAAAATCCTTATGGTATATTCTACCAATATTTTTGCTTTCATGCTCACAATTATTTTTGTTTGCTCATTTTTTTAAATTGTAAAATTTAAAAAAACTATCTTATTTTCCCCTAAATTTCATTAAAATGATATTTAATCTTTTTTCGTTTTTTTATGTTTTAAAAATTTTTTTCATTTTTTTACCATCTAACTAAATAAAATCATTAAATTACTAAAGTTATTACTGAATATTTAAATTTAATGATAAAATTAAATAAATATTTTGAATTTGAGATTTATTCCCTATCTTCTTTATAATGTTAATCCCAAAACTAGTTAGGGTCTTTTAAACCCGTCCTACCCTTCCATATGGCTCCTCTTTGGGCCATATCAACGTCAATCTTACCCAACATTACCTTGCGGATTTGAGAAATCTTAGTTAGTCATGGCCTGCATCTAGTAAGATTTTTTTAATTAAGGTTACTATGGGTCAGGCCTAGATCTAAAGAAAATTTGTTTTCGGCCACGGGCTGGCTTGGACTGAAAAATTTCTATTTTGCAGGTATCTAATTTGCATTCACTATTTGTAAATAAGAAACACGAAAAATTACGAAATGATTCGATGATAATTTTACCCTTTATCCATGCTAATTAAATATTCAAAAAATATATCGTAATTCATTTAAACAACTTGTCTTGTTTTTATAAAAAAAATATAAAATAAGTTTACCTTCTATATAATTTTAACCCTACTAAAACAAAAAATTTAATTTTAATAATAGTCAAATAGCAGTCACCATCCCGGTATTACATTCTTTTACACCACTAATCTGCCTTATCACGACATAAATTTCAGTCGTTTATATTCGGGAGTTTCAGATGCACCAGATGGTCACTTGATACTCGACCGTGACTTCAAGCGATGTAAAATGACCCGGCCTAATACAGCCATCTTTAGTGTTCTTATGATTTTGACTACTTTCTTATTGGCTACTACGCTGAGAAGCATAGGGAGTGGAGCCGGGGCGGACACCGTTGCCGGATCGGGTTAGATTTTTTTAAAATTTATTTACGTTGCTTTCTTTTTATATAAGGGGGGATGTTAATGCATTTTAATGCATAAAAACAGTTTTATTTATAACCAGGAACCCCAAAGACATTTTTGATTCCGTTCCCGTTCCGACTAAATAAATATTTCGTTCCTAAATAAAATATCTGATTTTATTTATATTTTATTATTGTACAAAATTTATTAATTGATCTTTATAATTTAGATTAATTAAACGTTTATGCATTATTAAAGACAATCTCTAATGATTATCATTTGTATGTATGCGATGGTGTTAATATGAATTTTCTCGAAAAACACCTTTCAACACTTACTTAAAAGAAGATTATCCATTGAAATTTAAAACGTTGATTTTATAACAAAACATTTAAACGATTTAAAAAATTGTTTTGATGATATTAAATAATGTTTAATAATATTGTTATCTGAAGCAAACTGGAATTAAAGAGAAGAATGAATATTCATGTTCATGAATGAACCATTATAAATTTTATATTTATAATAATGTATAAAAAATTTAAATTTTACATAATAATTCTGGAGAGTTTCATGAATCTTCTGGAAGCGATAATTTTTCCAAGTCCCTGGTTATAACATAAATAAATATTTACTTCCATATTATATTCGAGCACTTAAAAAAAATTTAAATCTAGTTTATTTTGAAAATTTATAAATATTTTAGTTAACCCACATTTGAATAAACGAGAAAGTTACGTGTTTGATCAAAATTTGGGCACTTATGTTAGGGAAGATGCTGGAAAAAAAGTTGGGTGGATGAAAGGGCTCAGTGGAGTGTTTGACAGAGGTGCCAAAGCCTGGCGTTCTGATAATGGAAGCCGGGAAACTATTGCTAGCTATAGATACTTTTTATTGGGTAAAAAACGCAAGTGATTTAAATAGTTGTTGTGTTTTGTTATTGAGCTTTATTTTTTATTCTATTAGGGTTGGCCAGTAAAAATTAATTTAATTTAAATTACGATTTAAATTACCCCGATTTTTTAAAAATAATCAGTGATTTAAATCAATATTTTAAATAAAATTCTATTTACTAAATTTGATCAAAATATTTAATATTAAGAAAGGCAAAGACTTAGATTATTTTGGGATTAAATAATTTTTATACGAAAATTCTAAATTTTACAATTAATCATCATTACTTATTAGATATAAAATACTAATTTATTTTGCATTTTATTGTTTTAATTTTTACATTATTAATTGTATAATTCTAATCTCAATATAGTGAGAAATTATTTAACTTAAATAAAATAATTTCGTTTGTTAAATTCAGGGTTGTGAACTCTCCTTCTAAAAAAGGTTCTGGTTCAGTGGAATATCTCTGAACCTTATTCGGGTTTAGGGTTTGCAGTCTATAAAAATAAAGACTTATAAGAGTTAGTAAAAATAACAGAAACTTCAGATTTATTTAACTAATTAGAATAATACAATACAATTTAAAAAATAATATTCTATTTGTTTTTTTAAATTTTATAAGAAAATTATCATGATATCTTCCAAAATCTAGATGCTAAAATTAAGATTGATTTTTTATACCTATCTTTTACTGTCTATTACAACTTTTCATGTTTGGTATTTGAATTTAATTGTTTAAAAGAAAATTAACTTTTATTTACAAAGAAATATTATACTAAGGAAAAAAAATTATTATGTATTTTTCACTCAAAATCTGTAACTTCTTTAATTGAATTTAGTATTTGGTTTAAATCGCGATTTTTAAAAAAATCACAAATTTTGCCAACCCTAATTTCTATATCTTTCTTTTTTTACCTTTCTATCTGTATAATGTATAATATCGGTAGAGGGAGGTTTTTCAGGGGTCTCAACCGCAGCAAAGATATTAGTTCAGATATAATCAATGGTTTAAGGTTCAGGTTCGGTTTGTAAAAAATAATATTCTTCAGTTTGTGTGCGCACAAATTGAACGTTGCAACGTAGCGTTTCAAAACGCATATATAAAAACGTAAACGCAGCCTTGTTTAAATTGATGCGTTAAGTCTAATTTTAATATGAAACCTTTAAATTTATAACAAAAAAAATTACTTGCCTTATATTTCATTAAAAAAAATAAAGAAAGGAAGAGGAGCAAGACATCTCAAATATATGTTAAAAGAAATCTTTTTTCTGAATATATTAATAATAAAGGCAATTTAACACATTCTCAATTTTATAATTATACAAGATGAGATAAAATAAATTTAATTCATTATTAATTATTTATATAATAGGTATTTATGGTGTATAATTTGCACAACTTGCTTATAGCTCAAGGATTTCAAAATCCTGTATAGCTTATATTGTTAAATCAGTGTGCACAGCAATTTGGAAGCTGCTGTACATATTCACATCCCTAGGCCTAATAAAAATGATTGGGAAAGAGTAAATTTATTATAATAAATCAAGATTAATATTTACTTATCTTTAGTTTTCCCAGGAATTCCTGCTTCAATCAGGATTTCCAAATTGTTTTGGAGCTATAGATGGAAAACATATCTATATCAAGAGCCCTCTTAATAGTGGCTCACAATTTTTTAACTGCAAGCATAGATTTTCAATTAACCTGTTAGCCCTAACAGATATTAACTGGAAATTTATTTATATAGATGTGGGAGCATATGGAAAGCAGAATGATGGTAGAGTATTTAGAAATATAGAGGCTACATTATATTAATTTTATTATATCTTAAAAATATATTAATAGTTGGTGAACCAAACACTTGATCTGCCTGCTTTATGTAATCATCCAAATTAGATACAACAATGATAAACCTCACTACAAGACCTTACTTACCTAGCAGAGAAAATAATTTTACTTCAATGGAATCAAAAATTATTAGAGACAAATATAAAAATTTTTATATTTATATTGTATTAAATTTATTTATGAAAATATTTTATATTAAATTGTGTTACATATTTAATTTTTATAGACAATTATGTTATTAAATGATATAAATAAATAGATTGAATATTAAAAAAAATTTATTTAATATATTAAATCTTAATATGGACAGCCTCTATCTTGAGGAATGAACCTTAAACTTAAAATAATATCAATTCTAATATCTTACAACATTATTTATTAAAAAATTATTAAAAATATACAAAATACATACAATACATTTTTATAAAAAATAAATAATTTATATAATGCTATTAAAAATGTCTAATGGAGAATCATTGCCAGGCTGTGATGATATAGGTTCTGATGATATATCATTTGTCTTGAGATAATATAAATATTTTATAACCTCTGTTTTAAACAGAAATTGCTTCTCATAGCTTAAGGATTCAGCTTCCTCTACAAGGCTATTCAAAAAATGCCTAAATAAAATATAAATTAGCTTTACAGCTGGGCTTTCTTCCAAAACATTTATTAACCTATTAAATTCATTCAGTACTTTAGGTTTTTTTGTTGTTAAGAGTTCTACATGAAAATGAGAATAAATAATTTTTTAAGAATAGTAAAATATTTTGTGGGATTTATTCAAATATAAGTTAAATCAATATAAATTTTGGATCAATATTGGATGGCTTTGTAGTAACATCAGAACAGAATTTGAGGATTGGCACAGCCCTACTCTTTATTTTCCAAGTAGTTATTATCAACTTACCAATAAAATAAATAACATGAATATTTAATTAAGTAGGTTTTCCTATTTTCTCCTTATTCAGCTGATACTTGAAGTTTCTCATGAAAAAGAGTTCAGCATTTCTGCAAACCTTTCTGTAATTTCATCGTTTCATGTCCTAAAAATATTGTTATATTATTTAATAATTATTATTCTTACAATTTAGAAGAATTTTATCACTTCAAAATTTAAAAAGTTTCAAAAAACGCAAGCAAGTTTGTCTTTTAAAAAATAATTTAAAATGAAAAATGTGCTCAATTTTAACGAATGCATTTAAAATGCACTGTTTGCGTTTTAAAACGCTGCGTTGCAACGTTCAATTTGTGCGCACTATCAGCCTTCAAAAACAAACTCGAATTTTTTTGCATACAAGCTTTTTATAATTATATATATAGAGTACCACATTTTTTTATAATTTATCTTTAAAGCTTATACATAGAGCAACTTACTATTTTTTTTATTATTAATGCACAAACAAATATAATTGACGCCTTACTTTTGAAATATTTTCAAAATTGCCTTCTATTCAAATTTTATTTATAAGGATAAATAAATTTTTTATGGGTAAACTTGCAATTAGCGTGAATTCGTGGCGATACAATATACTTCGCCACGATAACTTGGTTAGTGGGGCCATCAAATTACTAAAATACAAGAATATTTAAACAGATGATTGTTACTAGAATGATTAAGATAACAAGTAATAAAACTAATAATATAAATTGATTACAAATGAAATGATATATGGTTAAACTTTATAAAATAACATATATTATTTGAGTATTAAAGAATCCTTTTTAAGATAAAATATCGAATATATTAATGTATTATTATAGACAAATGGTATAAAAATGATTTTTAAATTTAACTAAAATCTAGTTTTAAATTATTACATATAGGGAATTTGAACCGTTGCATATCTGCAACTTTGACCATTAGGAGTATAATTTAAAATGAGTCACAACCCTCTTTAGTAATCACTTTGTATATTTTATCAAATTTTAAGCAGGATAAAAGGGATAACGAATATGAGCATAAAAATTGTCGTTTTTTTTGTTTCTCTAAATGTTACCAACATATTTCTCAAAAATATAATAAGAAAGTTAAAGAAGTAGATTGTGACAATTGGCAATTTTCTGAATTATTTCAATAAAATATCTTTTTTTGAATGATTTCTCAAAAAAATATTGGAAAACTTTAAAAATAACGATTATGACAATTGTCACTTATCTACGGTACATCTTCACTGAAATTTTATTTAAACGTGTTAGCATTTACATCAAAAAAATTTAAATAACGATTATGACAATTGTCAATTTTATATGGTACATCTTCATTGAATTTATAATTTAACATGTTTACCCTATATTTTTACCCACTTGTTTCAAAAATCTTTATAAATAGCGATTATGACATTTGTCACTTTTCTATGCTACATCTTCATGAAATTTTAATTTAACATGTTTACAATCTATATTTTTACCAATTTACGTCAAAAAAACTTTAAATAACGATTATAATAATTGTCAAATTTCTATGGTACATCTTTATGAAATTTTATTTGACATATTTACAATTTATATTTTTACCCATTGGCTTCAAAAAAATTATGAAATCTATGACTATCACTTATCTAGGGTACATCTTCACTGAAATATTATTTAAACATGTTAGCTTAACCCATTTACATCAAAAAAATTAAAAACACTCTAAAAATATGATTTTCCACTTATCTAAGGTACATATTCACTAAATTTTTTTAACATGTTATTATGACAATTGTCAGGTACATCTTCATTGAATTTATAATTTAACATCTTTACATACAATATAAATTATATTTTTACCCTTTTGTGTCAAAAAATTCTGACAATTGTCACATTAAAATAGTATCCTTAAAAAGAACATAAAAAGTTTAATATAAATATTTTAAAACAAACTCATTTAATATTCTTAAAAACATAGATAATTTTACAAAAATGATAAATAAATAAACTATAAAAGATTTCACCTAAAAAATTGTTTATTTATAATAAAATTCACAAAAGAATTCCTCGAAAAATATTTATTTACAAAGAAGATTTAAAATTCTTATCAAATCAAAATATGTACAAAAATCTTTTTGAACTTAAAATAATATTCGTCCTCTAGTTCATAACTTGAGTTTAGGAACCTAGTTTACACGACCTAAAATTAACTTCAGTAACAACATTAGCCGGCACGA